TACGTCCTCCCCCTGGTCTTCTCTACTCCTCTGGGCAGGTTTGTCGTCTTTGGCGTGCTCTGTATGGTTTGAAACAATCTCCTAGTGCTTGGTATGATCGCTTTCAGACTGCCATTATCGAGCTTGGGTTTCATCCTTCTGTTTCCGACTCTGCTTTGTTTCTGGGATATACCTCGACTGGTTTTGTTGCTCTCCTACTTTATGTGGATAATATGATCACCACTGGCTATGACTCTTCTGCTATCTCTGAAGTCAAGCAACATCTCTTCCGCACCTTCGAAATGAAGGATCTGGGTCCATTGCGAGGTTGCCTCTTCTCCAAAGGGCTATTTTTTGTCTCAGACCAAGTATGCTAATGAGGTTATTCACCGTGCCGGTCTTACTGATACTAAGGTTTCTGATACACCTATTGAGCTTAATGTGAAGCTCAACTCTACTGATGGTGTCTCTCTGAATGATCCCACAGTCTATCGCGAGCTGGTGGATTGTTTAGTTTATTTGACTGTCACTCGTCCTGATCTTGCTTAGGTTGTTCATGTGGTTAGTCAATTCATTTCTGCTCCTCGCTCTACCCATTGGGCTGCTTTGGTTCGCATTCTTCGCTATCTCCGGGGTACCATCTTTCAGGGCTTACTGTTGTCGTCTACTTCCTCTTTAGACTTGGTGGCCTATGTTGATTCAGATTAGGCTGGTGATGTTACTGATTGCAAGTCCACCTCTGGTTTCTGTATGTTTCTTGGCAATTCCTTGATCTCTTGGAAAAGCAAGAAACAAACTGTTATTGCTCGCTCTACTGCCGAAACTGAGTACCGTGCTATGGCTCATGCTACTGCTGAGCTTGTTTGGTTTCGTTGTCTTCTCTCTGATTTGGGTGTACCTCAGTCTTCTCCGACCTTCCTCTATTGTGACAGCCGCAGTGCTATTCAGATTGCCCACAATACTGTTTTCCATGAACGGACGAAACACATTGAGATTGATTGTCACTTTGTACGACAACATCTGCAACCTGGCTCTATCTCGTTTCCTTTTGTCTCCTCGGCTTTGCAACTTGCGGACTTCTTCACCAAGACTCACACTACTGCTCGGTTTCAGTTTCTTCTTAGCAAACTCTCAGTGTTTTCTGCTAAAACACCTTGAGTTTGAGCGGAGGTGTGACAATATATATTGTATATATGGTATATATTGTATATGTGGTATATTAGGAATTAGGCAATTTTAGGCAATTCCCTTTTCTTTGTATTTTCTTTTTCTGTCATAGATTAGGGCTATATAACTGATGCACTCTTTGTAAACATACACTATTGAATATACAGACTTTATTCAGAAATCTTACAAGTGACACATGGGACCCAAGCACATGGAGCGGATGATGTGGAGATGTGTCAAGATGGACAGAGTAGTTATAAATGCAAAAGAACCAAACTGGAGGTCACTTTCCTATAAAATCCATTAAAGCTCAAGCTACTGATTGTCCACTTTACGGAAGATTTGTCCACAGACCTCTTCAATAGAAATGCAATATTGTAATTTTATGCTTACTTCAATAGATATATCGTACCAACACTAATACTACCACCATAAATTCTTTTTCCATAGTAATTAGCACCACTATTCTTGATATTACTGCTTGTTTAAACAAGCAGAGCAGAAAAGCATCCGCTATCAATGGAAAGTACTTATAAATTATAATAACTTGCTTAGATGTTATGTTCTTCTCAAAACTGAAAATCACCTACTTCATCTGACTGAAACAGGAACCACTGCTTAAAAGGACACATGGGATGTCTTCAAGCATGACAATTTTTGGAAGCAACTTAATGAGTTTTCACCATTAAGGTAGAAGAAAGCTATTTCTTTAGTAGAAGATAAAGTTCAAACACACAGCCAGTTCGTGATCCCTAAAATGACACATTGTGCCTATAGAATATGCAAGCACCAACACTACAGATAATAATGCCTAGAAGGAAGCAGTCTACTTCCAAGTCTGTAGGGTTTTAATTTTATGCAACCAGAGGAATAAAGAAACAAACAAATGAACCAAAATCATGCATTGAGTTGCCAAAGACTTTTAAGACAATGCATGACATCAAGTTATAGACCAGGAGCGTGGAAAACAGATGCACTTGGGAAATGAAAATACCCATTAAATATTGTTGGAACAATTCATCTTGAATTCTTCAGTTGGTGGTCTTTGGGTATTCAAAACTTAGCGATGATCTTGTCTATGTAGAAAAGAAATTTGGTGCTTCAAGTCACGTTACTTAGTCACTTTCCTAAAGACAATATTTGCACCCACCAAAAGGTGTGCAGGGGGTTACAGTAAATTCGCCTCCAGGATATAATAAAACCTTGTCTAAAGATCAAGTCTACTGACGTCAACACTGACGACAATAGATCAGAATACTCTTGATATAATCAAAAAAACCAAGACACTGATAATCAAGTCCGCGAAATTTGATTACCAGCAAAAAAAGCAGAAACTTGCTTAAAATTCTTGATCAAAAACTCTAAATCAAGGGGGGGGGGAGAGGGGGAGAGAGAGAGAGAGAGAGAATTGCATAAATGCTTTCTGAATTTTTTGGATGGATTGAAATTGCTGATTTCACAGCCTACTTATAGGCCTTAATGCATCTGATTGAATGGACATGTCCCTTAATCGCATTCGATTAGATCTGACCGTTGGATCGACGACTAAGAAGCACGGACACGCATATGGACACAGACACGGAAACAGATATGGACACGGGACTCGGAAATTTTCAAAAAATGGGGACACAAACACGGACACGGACACGGCAGGGGACAGTAAATTTTTTTTTTAAAAATATATTTTTATTTGTTATGTAGATTAACAAAAACTAACATAATAATATTAATTCAATAAATATAAATAGATTATCCATCCACAAAAAAGTTATATATATATATATAAACCAATAATTAAAAAAAAACAATTTTACAAAGATATATATACATAAACCTATTATAAATAATAAAAAAAAGAGTAAGTTTTACAAAGATATATATATTTAAACCTATTATTATAAATAAATAAAAAACGAGAGTTCAAGAGAGAGAAGAGTGCGAGAGAGAGAGGATAGACTGTTCGAGGGTTCGAGAGAGAAAGAGTGCAAGAGTGCAAGAGAGAGGGACGAGACGAGACGAGAGAGTACGAGAGAGAGAAGGACTTACGATCAGGGTTTGAAGGTCTGGATGGACCTCGTCGATGACTGGATGTCGACGGTTCGAGTCGGCGTCTTCGATCAATGGTTCACGTCGGCGTCTTCGATCAATGGTTCGCTCTCTCTCCTTTGTCTCATTCTCTTCTTTGTCCCCAAAGATTTATGCCCCGTCGTGTCTATGCCATGTCCAGATCTAAACACGCGTGTCCCCGCCGTGGCCCCTACAAAAAAAATAATTAAATTAAAAGGATACGCCACCTGGCATGTCCCATAGTATCCCCAGCGTGTCCCCATGTCCGACACCGCCACGGCATCAAATCTGGCGTGTCCATGCTTCATAGATTGACGATCTATGGTGCAGATCATTCTCACACCAAATAGATATCTTGACTGATCATACTTGATCACGATCGGATGCCATCTCATTCGTACGATCGCGCGCATCTCCAATCAATGGCTATGATTAAACCGCTCCAAATCTGACACGCAACCGTTCGATCAGTTGAAGGACTCATCACCAACAGACGCCACATCGCTGCCACGTGGAGCTAATTGTATTCCATGTCACTCATGCCATGTTAGATCCACGTCATCGCTCCAACCTATTCGATGCAAATAGGAAAGAGCCCTCATGGTACCTTGCGCGCCATCAAATGCCACACAACCCACTGTCCACGCCACGCGCGGGCGCGTGTGCGGATGGTGCGAAGCAACATCTTTGCGGTGTGAGTGCATGCACACTAGCATCCATCCCACAATTCCATATTCAAAGGAATATTCTATGCAATACTTTATTAAGTGCTCCATGTTTTGCTCTCTTTTCAATGTGAAACAAAGTCCCCAAGCTTATTTCAAGCTTTCCAAAGAAAAACAAGGCTTTGAAAACACCCAAAAACTAAACTATAAATTTTGAAAATCATTTGAAAATTCCCCAACAAATATTACATGCCCAATCATGGCATCACGTGAGAGTTGTTGGATTGAAGAACAATGAAACCATAGTGCATTTATGCAAATGCAATGATACTAAGGGCCTATGACCATGATGTTCTTCTCTAAGCACCCATATTATATTATCTAAACAAAATTGTTTGGAATAAGGAAGGTCTACTTCACACTTTATGTAGAAATACTAAAGAGCAAGTTATATAATCTTACACATTACAATACAATGCAGTCTGAAATTGTCAATACTCCAAGGCAATAAGAGATAATGCAGGTATATTTGAAGTTGATAAGCATGTTCATGTACTAAGTGCATATGAATATAATTTGTTAAACAATAAACATTATGAAGGGTGAGGAAGACAGTCCCTATACTCATGGAAATGAAAATGAAATCTAATACTGACAGCCATACAATAATGGTTATTGCGTCCATACTAACAGAATTCTATGGGATGTTTTTGAACATAAAAATCAAAGTGTAATCAGCCTATTGCATTTTATACAAGTATTAAAAGAAACTACTTGATCCTTTAAAGCAGAATATGGATCTAACGCCATATCATCTTTAAGTGAAAAACATTGAATAATTCTATATCCTAAGCGATGGTTCTCTATCTTTTAATACTAACACTAAGCCACAAAATGTGCCATGACTCCATTTAAATAGGACATCCAACACTAGTTTTATTTGTTGAGTCATATCTTTAGGTAAGCTTACAAATAAAGCAAGCAGAATATGTTCAAACAATCACAAGGGTAAAAGAAAAAACATTCACAGAAGTTTCAATTCAGTACTGATGGATGAAATCCTTATCAGAACATGAAAAACTAAAGTCATTCCAATAGGTGCAAAATAACTACAGTACTCACTCAAATACTGTTACTTTATGTTGCATAAAGTTTTATCAGAACATAACCACTTCACACAGCCTTAAGAAGCTCAGTTGGGATTGGAGATCAGTGCCTCAGCAGCTCTTACATAAACCCCTGTAACTGTCAAAGCAAACATAAAAAAATGAGAGCAAGGTGAAGAAAAAAAGCACAGGTCTTTCAAGCATTATGACTTGTATTCCTAAATTGTAATGCTAATTTAAACAGCCCCATGTGTGACCTTATTTTTCACAAATTAGAAGGGATTTTATTTGCCATCTAAGAAGCATGGACATAGACACTGATATGGACACAAACATCGGACACAACGATTCTCAAAGAATTAGGACACAAACACGGCGGAGATACAGTAAAAGAAGTATATTTTTTATAAATTTTTAATTACTACGTATATGAATATAAATTTAGGATACATACATACGGGAGGCACGATGTTTATGTAGGTGTATTTTTTTTTTTTTTTTTTTTTTGTTTTTTTTTTTTTTTTTTTTTTTTGTGGTTTATTCCCTCTATATTTTCATATATTTAATTTGATCCCAAATCAGCTTTTTAAAATTATTGAATAAACAAAACCTACAAAAGATGTCCTAAGCTGTGTCCAAATATCTGTGAAGTGTCCTCAATATGTCCTACAATAAAATAATCATTAAAAAAATTGACAAGTCATGTGACGAGTTAGACACGTGGACATGCATGTCCCCACTGTGTCAGACATGGACACAGCACCCATCTTGGAGTGTCAGTGCTTCTTAGTTTGGCATAAATAGCTTATAACAAAAAGCCCAAGATCAGTAATATGTTCACAATCAGCTACTGTTCAATTTCCACCGGCTGAATTAATTCAGACTTCAGGATTTGAAATATTGAAGATTGTTGTATACTCTACAAACTCTGCCTTATAATCAGCAAGTGCCAATTGTCTAACCGCTGCAACTGTAACATGCCACGTCATGACACTGATAGCCACTTTCTACTTGTCAATAACAAAAAAGTTGGGTGAAAAGGTAAAAGATACCTATGTTTCTTCCAAAATGGATGTCGATACTGTGATGTTATGCTTATGCACAGTAATTGAGAACTGGATGGCGTCACAGGGATTTCAGAACTAAATCACTAAGTCAAAGATAGGTGAATCAGCACCTAACTAGATAAATCATCATTCAAATTCGGAACTCTAGGATGATAGGCAGCTTTAGAGATGTCCATAAGCTCTTGAACTGCTTTTCTTTCAGTTTCAACAAGAGAATAGCTAACCTCATTTTTGTTGCCATTCCAAATCCCATCCACCCCATTTCCTTCCTTATCATCCAATGTACCAATGCTAGTGCTGCCAGAATTTGAAGTTTCAGTGTTTCTGATGTGATCTCTACGGGAAGAAGGCCTTGATACTAGGTTGTCTTGCTTTCTTCGCTTCCGTTTTGTGCTTAGCATCCCATTTGCAATAGCTTCCACTACTTTCGGTGTTAATGGCCGGTTTCTTGTGCTTTGCCTAATGGGATTCACAATTGGTGCCTCTTCTGCAGCATTGACATCAATGGAATTACTCAAAACTGCAGGTTCGTCCATGAGCTCATGGTTGTCAAAGGAAGAGCCTAACACATGTGCATTAGGGTTTTGCAAGCTGTCATCAACCTCCATCATATGGGATTCATCATTTTCAGCATCTGATGGGACCTGGGTTATGTTTAGGTCAATCACAGGCCGTGACTGAGGTTTCTCACTTTTCAAGTCAGATATTTTCATAACATAACTATTCTCATGAAGAACACCTTCACTGCTCTCCTTTTTTGAACTTCCTTCTGCTGAAGATTTACTCGATAATACCTTCGCATGAAAACGACCAACTTGGGAAACATTTGGTGAACTTGACATAAAATTAGGATCCACTTCTTTTACTCCAAAGCCCACCATAAACTTTGCCAAGCTGCAGCTAGCGTCATCCTTCACACAAGAAGCCAATGTCCGCTGTTTCATGACAGGGAGCAAAAGACTTGAACAGCCAGGTCCCACTGTCTGGCTGAATTGGTTCTTGATGATCCTTGACTGCTCATTTGATAAACCAGTCTGTTGATCCTGGTAGTTTTCCACCAATTTTTTTGCAACATCTGAGCAATTGATTGGCATCCTTTGGTTTGAATTGCTATTATCAGCCATACCCTTAGCATGATTGTAAGATTTAATTTTCTTCTGATCCTTCAATAACATATCAGAAGACTCTGGCTCATCCGCTGAATCCCCAGAGGATTCACTATCTGTTTCTGTCAAATAAATACTCAAGGTAGAAGTTTTTTGAATATCAGCAGGTAAACTTCTCACTTCTGTCACCTTGCGTGATTTTGTTAAATAGACCAAACTTGTATCCACAATAGTAAACTTCGCAAGAGTTGGGCTAAATGTTGAAACTCGGGGTTTAAGGTAACAATGCTGTTGATGATCAGCTGGATCACTGTGGTTCAATGTGGGTTCTGGTTCGGGATCTCTTTCATGTGCTTCCTTGCTGTTGCTGACGACACTAGGTTCTTCAGCCTCAAGCTCGATAAGTTTTGGTTCCGATGCAACTCTGCTCAAAACATCACTAACAGAATCAAAGTAGTGGTCTCCTTTTACAAGTTTTTTTTTTGAGAACTTCTTGACACCAGGCACAAGAAAAACCAGCTGATGTTTGGAAACATAACTACCACTCTTTGGTTGCTCAGAGTGCCAACCCCTCGCTAGCAGACGAGGCCAAACGGCTTCCCAGAAAATATCGTTTGATCGAGCTTTGCTTAACCGAAAATCTCCAGTTAGAAACCTGATTATTTCAACAGGCGTAAGGGATGAGCATGCTTTCCCAACTGGTATTTCAACCTGGACAGGAAACACTTGATTGTTCTTTGTGGGCTCTGTGGAAAGGTTGGTTAGATCTTCCTTCCCCTTCCCAATTCCTACAGCTTCTATGAGGATGGGAACACCAGTAGCAGTCTTTAAGCTGTGAACGTATTCTTCAAGAGAAGATCTTCCCTCTGCAAATGCATTAGAGACCTGATAGTGACAAAATTTTAAAATAAAAAGAACTACATGTTAAAAAAATGCAAAGACTATTGCAACTAGCAAATAAATCAAAGATATTGTGAAATGCAACAAAGCTAAAATTCATATTGAGAAAACAGCACATGATGGCTCTGTGGAAGCATTTTGTCATACAAAATTGGTACAACTTTACTTTCCTCACTACTAAAATTTGGAAAAAATCTGTCAACAACTTTAGAACCAAAGCTAGTATCTATAGAGTGGTAGATGAAGTAGCATCTGATATAAATCACAGAACCTTAAACCGAATTCTGGTAATTTCATATTACTCTTTTACCATTGAATAAAAACTAAAGCAGAAATTCTCTATTGAACAAAAGAATTAACAAGTAAATAGACTTACGCAGAAGTTCTATTCCAACTAGAGCTAAGACCTCAAAATCGGAATTTTGACACTTCTACAACTAACACAGTTCTAGACCTAACAAAAACCACACATATAACAACCCATTAACAGAACTTGACCCATTGATCCCTAGAAAATCTAAGATTACTAGAATACCCTCGATTATGAAAACAAACATATACTGATATACATATATTACATAAATCAACTAATTTTGGACAAACATAAAGTAAGCCTCTACACAATAAAATGAACAGTTTGGACCAAAGAGACCACTGGATTATCTTGAGCCCATAACCTTTGTCTTGGTTTCCACAGCCCATTATACTTAATAAGTCCATTGTACAATAATGCCATTGTATGAAGAGATTTATTGAATTAATAATGGGCTATTCTGTAGCGTCACTGCTTTAGGTTGGTGGCACACGTACGAGTGCACTTAATTTTTTCCATCAAAAGAGAAGTATGCATTGTGTTCAACAGGATGAATGTCACAAACCCATATTGTAATAATGCCAAAAGTCTGGGAAAAAGTTTAAGTGGAAAAACATCAAGCATAACTGGTTCATGAAGCTTACCAAGAGTAGATGTCATAAGGAATTGTTTATCAACCTTTAGCTGTGTTAGTGAGCCATGCAACATTATATGGCTCTAGCTAGGAGTTGTACAAATGAATGTGTTGCAGGAAGCTGTAAAGGTTTACGCTTATAATCCTGACGAAGCTAATTAAGAAATAATAGAACATGCATAGATAACTCAATGAGAGCAAAAATGGTCATTTAACATATATTCCAACAATTCATCACAAAGCAGTACTAAATTCATTCCAGGAACATATGGTCAACATGAGTATCTATGTCATAAGTGATCTAGTAAGCCTAGTTCAGAATTGCTAACATGTCAAATATGTAGCATTTAAGTATACAATACCTCCACCAAAGTACATTTTGCTTCCCCAGGGACATGGGGAAGCAAACGAGATAACAGTTCCTGTTGCCTCCATCCTGTAAAAAAATTCTGTCCAATCTTGCACTTCTTGCTTTTCAACATCCTCCGCCAATCTGAATATCTTCGATGTTCATTGGTCCCATAAAACTTCCCATAGTAAAAGGATAGGATTTCACCCATCTCTTTGCTTTCCATGAATCTCTTCACCTGGAAGAGATTCTTCTCAAACATATATATTGCAAGGAGAAAACTATTGACTTCAACGTCAGTCCAAGATGAGTCACCAAGCAAGCCAGGAACCAAACAGGATCTTTTGCTTCTACATATTCCTGCCATTGCAGATTCAGAGCTTACTGACTTTAATTTTTTACCATTGTCCACTGAAACATCTAATGTTTTGGATTTCAAACCCTTCTTATTTGACACAAGTTGGCTCTTTTTGACCTTTTTAGATCCCAGTGACTCATTTGCATTAACTGAATCGACAGATTTTCGATTAACTCCAATTCTTTCATTGTCATGGTTATTTATTTTATCATCAACCCACGTAACTGGAATGGGTAATCCCATCAGAAAACAATGAGAAATGTCAAAAATAAATCCAGTATCAGCTGGGTTCCTTTGAAGCTGAAACTGCTCGGATTCTGTTAGCATGGGCGGAATTTCAACCTGATACTCATTACCAACTCGAGGGAACACCTGTGGATCTCCAAATATGTCACTTATATCACAAGAATCTGAGGGAAGTAACTGCTCAGAAGACAATTCTTCTAAACATTTGCCCTTATGATCCAGCTGACCAGAGTCCATCTGCCAAACATAGTCACAGAAACCATGAGAACAAATAAATCCAAAATCATTGCGGTTTCAATTTAAAGACGTGCTCAAACACCTAGCCCACATATATGAATACCATTCAAACTAAATAAGTAAATATGAAATAAAATAAAATAAAATAAGTGAATCGCATATTTGCAAGACTTATATGAAAAAGATGGAGCACTGAATTTTTGACAGTTGGAACCATGTTGCAATTGTTTCTTTGTCACTCACGCTATTCATTATATTTTCTATGTCCCAATCAAGTGGGGTTGGCTACATGAATTATTTTTTTCCATTCAGGTCTATCAAAGGGTTATATGCTCAGTTAAATTAAATAAATTCATATTTTTTTTCACTATTGCATCCCATGTTGACTTAGGTCTTCCCCTCCCCCTAGCATCTCCATTTATGGTGATCCTATCACTCTTCCTTAAAGTTGTATCTATAGGTCTTTGTTGAACATGACCAAACCATCTAAAAACGCTCTCTCTCCATTTATCTTCAATAGGTGCTACTCCTACCATTTCACAAATATATTCACTTCTGATTCTAGCTTTTCTAATTTGCCACATATCTATCTAAGCATTCTCATCTCAGGTATGTTCATTTTATGCAAATATTGTTTCTTAGTTGCCCAGCGCTCTGTCTCATAAAGCATCACTTGCTTTATAGTTGTTCTATAAAAAATTTCTTTCAATTTTATTGGTATTCGTCAATCACATAAAAAAAAGTAAACAATCATGTATCCATCCTTCTTGTTTTTATGTAGTATCAAATAGCACACAAAATTCTCAAAAGCTTTTGTACAAGAAGAGACAACATTTGGCAAAAACAATGTGCATAAAATCTAAAATATTTGTTGATATTTTAAAATCTTATCTTTTTGACAAACTTCGAATTTCACTCATAGTTGATAGTAATCATTGTGGCCAGATATCCCATGGGCTACAGAAATTATGCCAAGAATTCTGAAAGACCAGAGGTTCATGCTACAACATAGACAAATAATGAAGGGGATAAGTAAACAATCTCCTCGTCATGCTTACATGAATATGCATTCTCCTTTATCATTCACAGGATCTCGTGACTATGGTTAAATTGGTATATGGCACAACACTACTGTCCAGGTATCCAATAATGTCAAGTTCTAAATATCATGGGAGAGCACATAGTTGTACTATAACTATACGAATTATATAACCACTGCAAACAATAAATAAATCTCTCTTCTTAAATTTCAGGGCTCATAACTTTTCTAACACATTATAAAGTACACACCATGGCAAGTTTCAAAATCTTTTAACAAGAGCACATTTCACAATAGTACAAGGGTTTAACAACAAATTTGGTCTAATCACCAAACCACTTTATTTCCGTACACTGCAATGAAACTAGAATTTCCTTGAAATGTACAAATAATGTGTTTAAAAATAGGTTAAAAAAAATCAAGATACACGAGGAAAATGATGGAACATGGGAAACAACCAAAGCACCTGCCACAGGGGTGTGTGTGTTTATCATGGTTTACTTCATAGTTTTTCATCTTCATTTCTTGTTGATCTCCATTCTAATCATCCTTCTTGGTTTCCCACTTCCAGCACTATACCATGACATTACAGCATTTCATATTTGACTATCGCCTAGTCTTACTATGTTCTTCCTAAATATATTCTGCTAGTCTTCTATTTCCTACATTTGGTCAAAACTTTTGCGGCCTCCATGCTTTTGTTTCATGTAAATACCATCAACTAATTCAATTTTTTAGCAGTTATGGCTCAAATGGCTGGAGTTAACTTCAAATAGATTTAGAGAGTAGAAACATATATAAAGTAGAAGATGTTGAGGAAGGTTGAGAGAACAGTGTGCGACAGAAGTGCAGAGAGTTACTAATGGTTCACTCTCATATAATTATTGAAAGGCTCAAAGTAGAAAAATACCCATATGTGCTCAAACTACATAATGTGACACTCTCTCTCAAGTTGGTGCACATATATCCCTCATGCCCAAATTGCACAGAATGGGACGAAAACCCTTACTACTAAGCCTTTTAGTGAGCATATGAGCTAACCGGTCTTCAGATCACATAAAAACATACAGATTAAACATTTGCTCAACTTCTCCTTAGTGAAGTGTTTGCCAACTTCAATATGCTATCCTATTATGTTGCATTGGATTATTACTAATATTGATGGCAGCCTTATTGTCACAATACAACTTCATAGGACTAACATAATGTAACTCCAAATCCTTCAACATCACTTGAAGCCTTGAAGCCACATAAGCTCACAAAGGCCATGAGTCATAGCCCTATATTCAGCTTTTGCATTAGATCTAGCAACCATAGTTTGCATCAGACAAAAGTGTAGACAATCTCAACAGTGGCATGAGTCATAGCATGGTACTCAGTTTCGGCAGTAGAATGGGAAACAACGGTTTGTTTCTTGTTTTTCTAAGAAACCAAGGAATTGCCAAGAAATATACAGAAACCAGAAGTGGACCTGCGATCATTGATATCACCAGCCCAATCAGAATCAACATAAGCCACCAAGTCTAAAGAGGAAATAGAAGACAAAAGTAAATTCTAAAAGATAGTCCTTCGGAGATAGCAGAGAATCCAAAGCAAAGCAACCCAATGTGTGGAACGAGAAACAAAAATGATTTGGCTAACCAAATGAACAGCATAGACAAGATCTGGGCAAGTGACAATTAAATAAACCAAGCAACCCACAAGCTCTCGATATAAAGTAGTATCATCCAGAGGGACACTATTAGTAATGTTAAGCTTCACATTAAGCTCAATTAGAGTATCAGAAAGCTTAGTATCAGAAAGGCCAACACGGTGAACAACTTCATTTGCATACTTAGCCTGAGATAGAAAATACCCCTTGAGAGAATAGGTTACCTCAATACCAAGAAAATACCGCAAAGGGCTCAGACCTTTCATTTTAAAGGAGCAGAAGAGGTGTTGTTGGGCCTCAGAGATAATAGAAAAGTCAGAGCTAATAATGATTATGTCATCTACATAAAGTAACAGGGCAGCAAAACCAGCAGAGACGTGTGGAGAAGAAACAAAGCAGGATCATGGGCACAAGAATGGAATCCAAGCTGAGTAATAGTCATCTGAAAGCAATCATATCAAGCATGAGGAGACTACTTCAAATCGTAATCGTAAAGAGTACGACGAAGACAATAAATCTGTCTAAAGGAATGAGGAAGACCAGGAGACGGACGCATGTAAACCTCCTCGATGAGATGGCCATTAAGAAAAGCATGCTTAACATTCTTAGCATCCATCTATTAGAGAGGCCAATGTTGGACATCCACAGAAATCAAGATATGGACAGTTAGGGGTGTATGCAGTACGATTTGGGTGATATGAGAGTAAAATTATAAACCGAATGGCGGATTAGCAGATTGGCGGATTGGTAAATTGCAGTTTGAGCGGTTTTAGGCAGATTGGCGGATTGAAGAATATTCTAACTAATTATAAGACTTTGCATAATATATAACACTAATTTGCATAACATTTTTCATATATATAACACAAACTAATTTTACATAATATTTTTCATATATATAACAATTAATTTGTAATAAATTTCACATATTAAATTTTTTTCACACTCATTTTTACTTTGATATTTCATTATAGGTTAAAAAATATATATGTATTAACTATAGCAGAGTAGAGAGGTTCGAAAGCGAATTATTAATTTTAAAGTTTAAACCACGGTTAACGGATAGAGCGGTGTGAATTGATGTGAATTGATGTGGATCGATGCAATTTTAGCGGATTGAGCGGTATTTTGCACAACCTGATAGACAGTAGTCATCATGGCAACAGGAGCAAAAGTATTCTCATAATTAAGAACATACTCCTAAGAGAACCCCTTATCAACTAAGCGAGCTTTGTATACTCGAGAGAACCATCAGAACAAGTCTTCACTATGTAGACCAATTTGCAACCAATTAGATTCATGCCTGAAGGCAAAGGAACCAACTCCCAAGTAGTAGTCTTCTACAACGCAGACAGCTCATCCTGCATAACTTGAACCTAAGTAGGATCCTGACAGGCCTCTTTGTAAGATTGGGATTCTGAAAAGGAATGAATAGCATATAAAATGGTACAGTATCAAGGAAAAACACATGTATCAAAAAAATCGTCTTCTCACAAGAGTACGATGGTGGAGTGGATACTGACGTGCAGTAGGATCAATGTCATCAAAAGCAGGAGGATCAACAACAGAGAAAAAGGCAACTGATAAGAGAAAAGCCTCGTGACAAGAATAGACAAGCAATGGAGGAGGAGATGGAGCAGGAGGAGAAAAAGTAGGAATAAACTTAGAGGGAACAGTAGAGGTGTACTCATCAGAAGGGACCTTAGAAGGAAACGGATTAATGTGAACCAAATCCTCTTTGAAAACAGAGATAGTGGTAGGGGAAAGTTGAAAATAAGCTAGGTGTTCGAGGAAGGCAACATGGCGGGAGACGTAAAGGCGACAGGAAACGTGGTTATAACAGTGATAGCCTTTTTGAGTAAGACTGTAATCCTAAAAAACACACAGGACAGACCGAACACTAAGTTTAGTCCTATCTTTACGGGAAAAAAAACAAAACATGCAGACCTAAAGACACAAAGGAGGGAGTAATTCGGAACTTAGGAAAACAGAGCCTCATAAGGGAAACGACCAAACCTACCTCTACTCCACTACACACTCCACTTCACCTACCTCTACTCCACTACACACTCCACTTCACCTAACCCACTATCACCTCCACTACACCTACTACCACATTTTCTTCTATATATAGATTGTATAGGAATTGTAATTTATGCATCTTGTAATCTATCAATCAAGACATCAATCAATAATACATAAATTCTTACACCTCAATACCAAGAAAATACCGCAAAGGGCTCAGACCTTTCATTTTAAAGGAGCAGAAGAGGTGTTGTTGGGCCTCAGAGATGATAGAAAAGTCAGAGC